AAACTAAACACAAGAAACATCAATGTGTTAGAGAAAAATTTTGGATTCGTTTGTCTAATGAAATAAATAAAGTTATAAGTTGAGATTTTAAAATCAAGAGGTTATTGATATGTAGTATGAATTGTGCAAAGTAAAGTCATGCAATTATATACCTGGGTCAAATGCTATGAATAAAGTAAATTTAGCAGTAGAAACCGTAGTGTGGTACTGAATTGATATTAATCTCTGGTGGGCAACCCCATTAAAGTTAACAGTAAATCAGTTGTTTTGATAATTTTAGTATTATACAAATTCTTATAGCTTGATAAATTACAATAATTTCCAGGACCTGTTAAGATATTCAAAATGAAATAATTAACCATTCAGCAGTCCATTTATTCTATACATAGTCAGTAAAATACAAGCTTTCAGAAAAAATAGCAGAAGACAGGAATAGAAGGAGATATTTAAGTTGAAGAAATGTTCATCTTTGATTTATTATTATATATGTATATAACTAACTGAATTAAACATTTAAATTTCTTTCATAAGTGTCAAAATGTCCATTTTTGAAGTTATTATGTAAAAAATAATATACTTCATCAGATTTATTCAACTTAAGTAGTGGTCCAAATATATTCTAACTGCATGGTTATATATATATTTGTATATATATATAATCAGTCTGTCCCTCTTCCCACACTCCCACATAGGATCTGGCCTTTAACTTGGATATAAAAATAATGTACTAAGAGGGCTCCCCATTGTCCAATTTCATCTTCAAATGAAATGCTTATGGAATGATTAATTTTGTGTGAAGGGGAACTTAGTAATACTCTGTGAAAAATTTCTAAAAATTATTATTTTAATATATTTTTATTGATTTCAGAGGGGAAGGGAGAGGGAGAGAGAGATGGAAACATCAATGATGAGAGAGAATCATTGATCAGCTGCCTCCTGCATGCCCCGAGCCCGCAACCTGGGCATGTGCCCTTGACCAGAATTGAACCCAGGACCCTTTAGTCCGCAGGCCTACGCTCTATCCACTAGCCAAACCAGCTAGGGAAAATATCTAAAAATTATAAAAATATCTGCAGTGCTTTCCATATGTATTTTATATTTTATAACCTGTGACCTAAGAGGAAAAGTTTAGGGAATTAGAAACAAATAAAAGGCAACCACCTCTTATGCTGGACCAAAATTACTGGACATTAAATCCTCCCTGTAGCTACACTGAATACATATTCATAGTGCTCATGTTTCATTACAACCACTATTTACTTCTTGGGATAAACCATCTAGACCAAATAAATATTGGATGTGGGGGCTTTTTAATATCAAACGTAGGTCTAAAAATGTTCTATTGTTTTGCTATACCTACAGCTGTGCTACAACTGCTGCTGCTTTTCTGACCACTCTTACTACTATATTTCATACATTAATTCCTACTAAGTGCCAACTGCTGGGGAAGTTCCATGCCGTACCCAAATTCTCATGCCATTCCCTCAAGGTTGGTATTAGTTCCCTACAGTCTCTGAGAGGTTACATGACTTGCCCAAGTCACAAAGCCAGTGAGGATGCTCTCCTCACAAAAGCCAAGTTACACACCTGTATCTCTAGTGCAACTAATTAAGAACTTCACAAACGGAAGAAAACAAAAACTTATAGTCATTCCAAATTAACTTCATAACCCTCAGAAGAAAATAAAATCATGTTCTTATTTTTTCTTTATTACTATGACTCATGTAATTGTTTACCAGATTTTGGAAACGAGCATTTGATCATGCTCAGAGTGATGAGCATTACTTTCCCTGTATGTTCTCTCCACTCTAGTTCTGAAAAAGTGAACTATGTTAGATGTTGGGAAGTGACACAGGGGTTGTGTTTTTGAAGAACATAAAGGATGGCTGCTGAAGAGGTGGTGAAGAAGGACTTCTAACCATGTGCAAAGGCCCACATTTGAGAATGGATCAGGGTGACCAGAAAAGACTGCAGCAAGAGCATTTGGTAGAAAATATCAATAATACTCAGTAAGCAATTTACTTTGGGGTTGAACATTACTAATATTTATCACTCTCTTCCTAATCAGTACATAAGTGTGTTCAAGTCTCTCATGCCTTCAAAGTAATGATGAGAGACTCCAAATCCTCTTTGGCTTTACCTTCAACTAAATTGAAAGCAATACCAGAAGCCTCCTTTTCCCTAAGGCATGACTCTCTGATGTGGGGAATATTAAATTGCAGAGAGAAAAATACCTCTCTTATAGCATTTTTCACTTTCTTTTTCTTTTCTTTTTTAAATATATTTTATTGATTTTTTACAGAGAGGAAGGGACAGGGATAGAGAGTTAGAAACATCGATGAGAGAGAAACATCGATCAGCTGCCTCCTGCACACTCCCCACTGGGTATGTGCCCGCAACCAAGGTACATGCCCTTGACTGGAATCGAACCCGGGACCCTTGAGTCCGCAGGCTGACGCTCTATCCACTGAGCCAAACCGGTCAGGGCAGCATTTTTCACTTTCAGCAATTGCTTATGACATGCACTCAATTCAAGCTATTTATATAAACTGTGAGTTACTGTATTTTAATTTCATATGGTCTGAAATAATCTCAAACTTTTGGTATAAAATTTTTACATTTCTTATTCACAAGGTTTACTTGGAAATACATGTTCTAAAATTTCCTGACTTTCAGGCCTTTCAAACCTGCCTTGAGACAGTAACTCCAGCTAGAGTATCTGTTTCGTGAGACCCCTTTAGCTGCCTTCAGACTCAGCAAGTGTAAGACAAACAAGGACTTAAAATGAAGAAGCCAGGGAGCCAGAGCATGGACTAGGACAGTGGTCGGCAAACTGCAGCTCGTCAAACTGCGGCTCGCGAGCCACACGCGGCTCTTTGGCCCCTTGAGTGTGGCTCTTCCACAAAATACCGACTTCTGCACATGGGCCACGAAGTTTCAGTTGCACTGTACGTGCGCACCCGCATGTGGTATTTTGTGGAAGAGCCACACTCAAGGGGCCAAAGAGCCGCATGTGGCTTGCGAGACAGTTTGCCGACCACGGGACTAGGAGAATGGTGGAGTTATAAGAGACCTTTGAAATCATTCAATCCAATCTCATTTTCCAGGAGGGGAAGCACAGGCCCTATGAGGTGAGGTTGAAACACAGGCCCTGTGAGATGAGGTGGCTCAACGTCGCCCAACTAACTGAAGGTTTTATGGTGACCAAAACTTGGGAATTCTGGCAGGCTGAGGTCTGCATGTCATGAGCACATTCTGTAAAATACCCTAACGTATTATGAGTATTAAACTGTTCAATAACAATCCATCAAATGCTACAATTATCAATTATTTTTTATGAAATACATTGCACCATGGTTTGAGTTTCCGGTATATTCACATATTAAGTTTTATACTATTCGAAACATATATTTTAAAACTTTGAAGTAGAAAAAAACACTTCTTTATTTAAAAATTAGTGGAAACATAGATGAAAAAAAACCTGATATTTGTTGACACCTTAAAAACAGTCTACATATGTTACAGTAGTACATTTAGCTATGTTATGCATTTGGTTTCTTGCATAGTTTCCAAAGTGTTTTAGAAGAGAGCAATAATTTATGTGGAGTCAGCTGGAGTTTTAAAAGGTATTTTAAGACACCACAATCTTCTTTTGCCCTCTTGCATTCCCAAGAGCTCTGACTGGTTAATACTCACCGTTGCTTAAGTCCTCTTAGGATTCAAAGTTACTGCTAGACTGAATTTAATGAATCCATCAAAATCACAGAATTTTCTTTTGCCTCCTCCAACACCTTGCTTCTCTTTAGTCATGGGAGGAAAATGCTTCTGTGAAGCAGAACACCTGTGAGACTGGGAAGTGTGATTGAAATGGTCAGTTGTGGCTCTGTCTCAATCATGTGGCTCTTCTATGCCTAAAGAGGCCACTTGTCTACTGGGAGAACATTCTAGAGTGCTAGACCTTGCATCCATCAACAAATGGGTACACTTCATTCAGAAATGCTGAAAATGTCGCAGCACCCAGAGTTTACTCTTCTGTCTTGGGCTAGGGGTGGGGTGATGAAAGTAGGCATTTTTACTTTATTCCCTAATAACATCCAGCATCAGCTCCTTGCTAAATCCTTTGTGAGCCCTGGACATCTCCATTGACACAGGTGATCTTGCAGGTTTTAATAACTGGTCTGGATTTAGCCACCATTCCTGTGGTTAGGTAATTTTTGAGTATAGTGTCATGTTCATGGAGGGAAAACTGAGGAAGCAAGTCTTAAGCCACCTGATGCCACATCCTAATAATATCTTGCCTTTTATGGTGCTTCAGATTTTTCAAAGTGATTATATA